GCACGGGTGTGAGCGCGCCAGTGCCCCCATCCCGTGCATGGGTGTGAGCGCGCCAGTGCCCCCATCCCGTGCATGGGTGTGAGCACACCAGTGCCCCCATCCCGTGCATGGGTGTGAGCGCCAGTGCCCCCATCCCGTGCACGGGTGTGAGCGCCAGTGCCCCCATCCCGCGCACGGGTGTGAGCGCCAGTGCCCCCATCCCACACACGGGTATGAGCGCACCAGTGCCCCCATCCCACGCACGGGTGTGAGCGCACTAGTGCCCCCAACCCATCCATGGGTGTGAGCGTGCCAGTGCCCCCATCCCACGCACGGGTGTAAGCTCCAGTGCCCCCATCCCACGCACGGGTGTGAGCGCACCAGTGCCTCCATCCCATGCCTGGGTGTGAGCGCACCAGTGCCAGGCCTGTGCGTGCTGTGAGTGTGCCAATTCCCACGTGCACTGCTTGACGCCAGTCCAAGTCCAACCCCAATTAGTCACCTCGGGGCAGTGCTCTGCTGCCCACGGCCTGCGTCTGGATCGTTTGCTCCCCCTCCCCTCCAGAGCAAAGAATCTTGTGTGAACACCCCAGGCCCCCTCCCACCGGCGCCTCATGCAGCTCGAAGCCAGCTGCAGCCCGCAGTCCCTGGTGCCTCTGCGGAGCCAAGTGCGGAGGAGTCTCGGCCGGGGCCACTTCCCGTCGTGGTTTTCCTCCCATCGAGCGCCGGCGTTGGGCCCGGGAAGGAGCAAGTCCCACCCCACAGCCCGTATCCATCCAGCTGTGGGGGAAGAGGCAGATGCCCAAGGTCTTTCCCCCCTGCAGGCTGCGCCCCAGGGGTGGGGGTGTCTCTGCTCCAGGATCGCCCCCCTGCCCCACGGTGTCTGGGGAGATGTTAGCTCAGCCGGAAGCTCGCTGTCATTTCCTCCGGGACAGACTCACAGGAGAGGCCAAGGCACTGGTCCCTGAAGTTATCCGGGGTGGGTGGGGAAGCGTCACCCACAGGCATAACCTGTCCCTGCCAGCGCTGCCCAGGGCCTCCTGTCCCAGCGCCAGCAGCTTGTCTGCCTTCCAGGGTCCCAGATACTGCCCGGCACTGGGTCGAGATCTCAAACACAGACACGCTTCCCATCAGCGCACGACACACAGAGCACAATGGATTGCCCCGAGGATGGGCCAACAAAGACATCTGGCCTCCCCAAGAAAGTCCTTCCGCCAAGGGGTGAGCTTCGGGCCGGCCCCACTCTGCACAGGGGGTGCTGCCCACACAGCCCTTCCCCAGAGGCCTCGGGGGGACGCGGCGCGGTTGGCGGGTGAGCTGTCGCTGATCCCAAGCCGGGAGGTTGGCTGGAAAGGCTCCTCAGTGGGGAGGGGTGGAGGGGGGGTGTTGGGGGCGGGGGGGATACACAGGCAGAACAAATCCCCCCGCCAAAAAATGCATCCATCAAGTTAACACGAGACTCACATGAGGAACAGAAATTGACGAGGGGTCCCCTGTCCCAGAGACATTCCCCATACTGCCCCCTCCAGGCCAGCTGGGACCCAGCCAGCCAATCCCAGAGCCCTCCCTCAGCCCCAGCCCTCCTCCCCCCTCCTCTCTCTCCCCCCAAAGGAAGGCCGGGGGAAGGAGGGATCATTATTATTCCTTTCATAGTGGGTTCGATTTTGTGTCTCTTTCTCACCCCTCTATGAAGGCAGCAAGGGGTGGGAGGGCGGGGGAGGAGCAGGGGCAAAACGGAGGCGTGGGGGGGGGGTTAAGGAGAAAGTGTCCCTCCTCCCCAACCAACGATTGCTTGTGTTTGTTTTAAGTCGGGTTTGAATTTTTCAAGGTCTGCAGCTTCCCCTCCAGTTCGGAGATCTGAAAAACAGACAAAGGGATAAACGTCTCAGGCAGAGAAACAGCGGGGCCGTCCCGAGGCCGGGGATGTTGGGGCGCGGGAGGGGGGATCGCTGAGAGGGGTCGTGGGGGGAATGCTGAGAGGTGACGGGAGGGGGAAGGGGATGGCTGATGGGGGGGTTGCTGCGGGGGTGGATGCAGGGGGTCTCTGCTGAGGGATGGGTGCGGAGGAGG